TGTGGCATAGTTCTTTGTTGTATGAACCGCCAGAGGACCCTAAAATTTAAAGCATATTTATATGACGATAAAATAATACATTTCAAATATCTTTGAACTAAAAAACTGAAAATTAAACAGCCTAACATCGGCATCACATTTCATAAGTTCCAATGCAAGCCTGCTATCCATTGGTCCTAAATAAGTATGCTCTACTTTGATGCGTGCATTGTCAGATGGTGATTTGATATTTTGTGTAACAAGATCGACGAACGCTGAAACTTTCCTTATTTGATATGACTGCGTGATCCCTTGTACTTACTACATTTAAACTTCACAAATACTTGAACTGATTTTTCTTGTCACAATATAAATTGACAAAAAATGCTAATATAAATACGAACAATTAAAGTCGCCAAAGAAACGACGACATATAAGAGCGATTAATGGTCGAACATTCATCCGCTGTTCTTCTTTAGTTAGCTTGATGTTTAATTCAGCCATCACTAATGGTAAGCATGTGTCCACATCACCCACTACCTTAACCACAAATATGAAATAAAACTTTGACAGAAAATTCAGTGTAAAATCTTTGAAAATAGATTGACCTGCGAAAATATTTTATAAAGTGGTTCAAGAATAAATTCAACAAAAGATCGTGAGGCCCCTTGTTGTGGCGGTTTATTGACAAATTTACGAGTCTTTTTATCGAAGTACTGATCACCCCACAAATGCTTTGCAAATTCTATTCCACTGATTGATCCTGTAAATTTTTCAAATGAAAAATTGCATAGGAACTTGTGAAACTGGATCACAGTTTAGAAGATACTGCAAATAAATCTAACCATAGTGATTAGCATACAAATCAGCAAAACTGTGTAAAGAAAAGCATATATTGTATCTTGAGCTGGCAAAAACAACATTGTTAAGTAAAGGGGATACTTGGAACCCCTCAACTTCTTCACTAAATGTCCTGCAAAAACATTTATAATATAGAACAATAACAGAAACTCTCTAATAACCCCTTACTGTTTAAAATGTATCAATTTGAAATGTAATAGCTTAAAAGAACTTTTCGGCAGGTAACAGAGTAATAATGAGGAATTTGTTGATAAATATGCAATAACTTTTCAAATCAATAGCCATGAAGAAAAACTAAACACGACTATTTCCTAGCAAAAACAAATTGATTTTAGCAATATTAGTATTAAAGAACTTGAAGACAGATAGCAAATGAGATTTAATTATGGACAGCAATTGCAAAAAGTTATAGTTAGCAAGGTTATAATTTGTAAAACGGTAATAGAACACTGAAAGTGTGCAACGATAAACGAAATGTAAATAATGAATAGTCCACTGAACGGTATCAGATGTTCTTGAAGATTTAGAAATAAGATACAAACTTACTGAAGAAGACTATTAATTTGATCGAGAACAAAGCGGAGTTTATAGTAAGCATCTGTAGGTGGCAATTTTAACTCTAAAATCAACCGATCAATTTTATTTATACAAACAGTTACCGGTAAACATTCTTGCACAGCATGTCGAATTGCTCTTTCTGTTTGCAACATGACCTAAAATCACATAAAGAACAAAAGTTACAAAGATTATGAAATTTAAAAAGCGAAAAACTAAACTTACACCTTCGTGTGCGTCTACAACGATTACTGCACCATCGCTTAAACGATATGCTGCAGTCATCTCATCAGAAAAATTTACATGACCTACAAATAGAATTTCGATTTGCTTGCAAAAAAGATTGTTGATTGCAAAATAATTTTCAATTTCACAAATTTTATTAACCTGGTGTATCCATGATATTCAATAAGAAGCTTTTCTGACGAGAGTCCTGCATGACAATTGTGATTGGAGTAGCTTTGATTCCACATCCCCGCTGCTGCTCAATAAATAATGTATCAGTATAACGAGTGTCCGCATCTTCATTTCGTACGAATTCCGGATGTGTCTGTTCCATCAGACAATCGATAAAAGTGGTCTGAAAAAACGAAAAGTAAGGCATAAAAGCTGCACATGAACCTTGCTGCAGTGCAATGCTTGCTAACAATTTTGGAAATAACTTGTCGAACAAACTACATAATAGAATTACTTTTCCATGATGAAGATGACCAACGACTGCAATGTTACGCATTACGTGGGGGCAATCCATGAGATCAGCAAGATATTCCTTATTGTATGTTGTTTCCGGCAAAGTATGTTCAAGTGCCTACATAAAATAGTGCGAAACAGTACAAAATGTATAACCAAGTCACATTTCTATAAAACCTTTATTAGTGAAAAGTTTTGACAATTTAGAAGCACGACCTGAAATTTTCTTTGTTTAACAGGTTTGATTATCGGTTCTGTTAAAGGCTGGGCATCTTCTTCTTGAACAATTGTTTCAACATCTTCTCCATAAATCTGAAACTAGCATAAACGTGAAACCTGTTACTTCTACACGAAAGCTATACGAAAGAAAAAATTGAAAACTTGCTTCCATGGCTGTGGCATAGTACTTTTTGTCCTCGTGCAAAACGATTTGATTCGATGGAATTTGTTCCATTTCTTCGGTAACATCATTCTGCAAAACCAGCGCTTGAATACTAACAAGAAGTTTTAACTTGATGACTAAACAAATTTCAGAATAGCAACATGAAAATAAAGTATGGAAAGACGTGTACCTCATTTTCTTCTCCTTCTTTATCAGCACCTTCTATTTTCTGGGCACCCACTATATCATCTTCTTCTTCATCATCAGAATCCAACTCAGGTCCTATATAATTTCCGAACTCGTCATACAAATCTGCGTCCATATTTCGTAAATACTCTGAAAATAATAAGTCTTCGTTACTTTACATTCTCTCATGATCTTATTGATAAACAATGGAGAAATAGAAAATGACTTCACAACCAGTGTCATCTTCACATTTAAACTTATATTAAAAACAATCGTTAGTTGAAACGAAAGAGAAATAAAATCATAATTGTCGCAAATCATCTTCGTACCTATCACTGGCAAGTTTATTTCTACCTTTCGCTATTTTGTCATGGATAGAAATGAAATTGAGAAATGAGTGTAATAAAAAGTATTCTTATGAAAAGGAAGACAAGAGAAGTTAAGAGCATTCAAAAGACAGTTAATCAATGAGGAGAATAAGGGAATGAGTACACCTGAAGAGATCGCTTGATTGTTGCAACGGTGCGACAAAAACCAAGTGGGAAACTACAGAGATTAGATGACTTTTGCAGAAGCATTGTGAATAGGATGAGATGAGTGTGGCTGTATTTTTCAATGTCTATGAGTCTGCTTCTGCAGGCATTGAAAAAGAAAGCTAGACATTTGGGAAGTGCACGGGTAAAGTTGCTACGGTTGCAGATGGAATGGGATTAAGATTCGGCCTACGGTAGAAGGATATATGAGAGGGTTCGAGATCTATTGTAAATAGTTTTGCTCCAGAATTTTGTGAATTTGTAGACGAAATATATGCGACTTTGTTTTGTTTAAGAAAAATGTCTGAGTGTTTAAAATGAATATTTACTAAATTTTCGGACCTCTCATGTATGAGTACTGACTCGCAATACCTATGACAAATTCAAGCAGAAATTGTCATTAAAATTCTTGTAATTTTACAGTTTGATTGACTGAAAGGAAAGAGCTGATTTCAGGGGATAAGAAGCCGATGGTTTATGGAGTGCGAGCGGGTGTATCGCTTTTGTCAGGAGTGGTACTTGGGATATTACTCTCCGTGGTATTCTTTCAACCTGCTCAAATAACTCCCTCAAGTCAAAACTATGAGCAGTCATCGTCGAGTGAACATTGGGAAGTTGTTATCAAGAAAGCTACAACCACTTCAATCAATGCTCAGTCTCCGACTCGAAAGGTCGATTTATTTAAAATAGAGTCCCAATTTTTTCGCAGTCGTGTTAATATGAATATGCATATTTTTTGTTTTTTAAAATTGGTCATGACTTATTGCTATTTAATAATGCATTACACATTTTAGGTTTTTAGAGCTGGATTTGCTGCTACAGAATTAGGGATTCGCGAAAAGCTTATAGTAATTGTTCTTGGGCGATCATCTTTAATGTTGGCATTAAATTTAACAGTTGGACGACATGTAAACCACTTACAATTTTTTGCTGATGTGCTGCACATTGATGAAGATATTGCTGTGCTTCCTAACCTTACCCCTTATAAACTCAATGGGCGACACACGCATATCGCAGTTCTTAGCCTTATTTATAATATGGTTAATTTCTTTGCACTAATTTGTCATGATGATTGGTTGGTTTTTGTTTGTTAAACATTTTAAATTATAGGTATTACGGAACATAAATTTTTTGGAAAATTTGAAATATTGAGTTTCTAATTTATGAATTAGAGTCATTACTGTAAAACTAAAAGGTATTCCTCGCATTTTTTCACATTATTTGTTAAATTTTGATCAGTTTAATGCAGTTTTATTTGATCGAAAAATTTCTAGACTTTGCACGAAAAGTATGATTGGTATTATTTAATGCCTGATACGACGTATGTAAATCCATTTGAACTGCTACGATTTGTTAATCACGTAAACTGGAATCATCGTGTCGCAGTTGGTATAAGAGTTAAAGATGCTCCTGAAAGATGTGATTTACAGGCTGGTATTTTACTCTCTAATGTTGCTATGCAGTCGTTAATTCGGTAAGCAGCAAATCTGCTCAGTATAAACTTAATTTGAAAACGCTGTCAGATTTTTCACAGAAGCTAACTTATTCAATTTATTGTATAGATGGCAAAAATAACATGAAAGTGATCCTATGGTTTTTTCATCAATTAGGTAGACAGGAAGTTCTCTTCGTGTTGTAAAATGAGCCACTAGGCTTATTAACTTTCAGTTTACTGCAAGATTATGAGATATATGTTTAAAAAAATCATATTCATTGCAATTCTGTTTTTTTGATATTTTAGTCAGAGATACGTATGCAATTCAATATCTACCAACTCGGATTTTGATGCTTTCGAAATGTGTATTCATCATGCAACAAATTTGTCATGTATTAATTATTATGAGGTTCTTATTTTGTATTTGTGTTACTTGTTTTACTGATGCAAAATCAAGGTATATTCATGAATTTAGTTTTTTTGTCATTAACTGTATTTAGACTAAAACATACTTTGGATGGAAAGTGCATGGAGAATCTGAAGATGGCGCGGCTATTGCAATGCATGATGTCGTCTCATGGTGGTCCTCATCACAAAATTTCAATCGGTAAGCGATGGAAATTAGAATATAAGATATCTAAACAATTACCAAAAATTAATTGGTTTTCTCTTTTTTAAGATCTATTAGTGTTTCGCCATTACTATCGGGAGCCGATGTTCATGCTCTTCATCGTCACTTTTTACAAGTTGAGTTAGATCGTATTAATTATGGGATTGATCGTCTGTCAGCTGAGATCCTCTCACTGTCGTATGATGTTGTAGATGGACCTTCTCAACCACCTGGTTTACCTCCTTATTCAAAAGCACCAGATCGGTATCAGGTATATCTTTCATTTCTTTTTTGAAGCTTAAAAATTATGCACTGTGTAATCTTCATGATCATGTTGTTTTCAGGTCCCTAAATGGCAGTATTTCACTAGCACAGAAATTTTCAAGAATGAACCTAATCAAAATGTGCATGCGCTTAGCGGGGATGATAAGCTGGATGTTGATGAGGCTTGTTTTTAAGATACGATAGTTTATGCTTAATATGCTTTTTTTACCAGTGATAGGCGTAAATTAAATTTTTATTTTCTTTTTTTCTTATGTATATAAATATATATAGAAATAGACAAAAACGAAAATACGGAGGTCAGTCTTCTTTTCCGCTTTATTAATTTTGGCTCTGGATCGTATTCCGGCACTCTGGCTGTCTTGTTCCGCGCTCAGATTTGTTGTGCTGATCGTTTTCGCTTCGTCCTCGTGAAATCCATAACGATTATCGAAGATGCTTTCGAGCATTTTCTTGAGCACTATTGTTTCGATATATGACTGGGCGTGATCAAACATAACGATCTCCTTCGCACTGCGTTTGTGGAAGTTCGTTATAATCCCATCCCAAGTCATCACATACAGAATTAATATTTTGGTCCTGCATTTCCGAGATTGTTATCAAGTACGTCATACTTTCGCCTTTTATCAGTCTGGACTGCAATCAACTGTCGTGGCTAATAATGCCAACCTGCATCAGGTTTACATGTCGCTTTTTATCGTGGATCATGATCTCAGTTCGATCTGCACTTATCTTTAGAGCTGTTCTTACTCGCGTATCGACTTTGATCTCTACGTTCTCTTGAACAGAATGGCTTTGCTTGCGGCGAAATGCTTTCAAACTATATTTCTGGTAGGATTTCAAATGGATGCATCGCAGAATCATGTCTTCTATAATAGTCATGATATAACATTTTCTTGCACTGCTTTGTTAGATGGTGGTACATCTAACAACATTGTTGTTTCATACCCTTTTCAACTCCAAACATATTTCTAACTTGGAAATAACAATATTCGTATTTCATCTTGCGGGGTAATGTCTCCGTATCTTAGCCATATTAATGGATCAGCTATAGACGATATTTCATTCGTCCACATGTTGTATGACTTTCCATGATGAGTTTTCTTTTCTCTTTTGCTATACAAGTATATATGAATCAAAAATCAATTTTTTTAATTTCTGATTTCACATACTTACAGGTTCTTACTGCAGCTCGAAAATTCATCGAAGGAAGTGGTCAGATAGCCTTGAATGAACGATTTTTGCAACTTCGTAATGGCTATCGATTATTTGATCCAGTTCGTGGGATGGACTATATTGTTGATTTAATTTATAGGGATACTAGTAGAATTAAAATACATCGTGTTCATCTGACTCGCGCAATATCTAGTAATCAGCTTTTAAACCAGGTGAGTTTCACTTTTGGAGTAAAATATGATTAAATTTCTGGGATAGAATTACTTCTACACTTGTCTATTTAGGTTCCTTATGTTAAAGAAGATACCGATTTAACAATTTTGATACCGGTAGGATCAAATAATGAAGTTGGTGCTCTTCGTCGGTTGTTGGCCCGCCATATGAACCTTTGTCATTTCTCAGCGAACGAAAATAGGCAAACTAGATTGGTGGTTGCTGTTCGTGGAGTCGATCCCTTTGCAGTTCGGCTTATCAACAACGATGTCTTTGAATTAAAAATGCGGTATATCTGAAATATTGCCTATAATTCCATCTGAACGGTCTCTTCTAACCATTTTAAGAAGTAATTTATTGTATCGATTGTGTTATATCGTAACTGCATCTTCAGATGTAAATCAACGCAAACTGAAACAATGTTGCTGACTCTGAAACCGAGTAGTCATCGCACTTTGTCCGCTGCGACGCTAGACGAAGCAGTTGATCTTTTTGGTCAGCAAATGATATATCTGTTACTATCGCCACATGCAGATATCGAATATGAATTTCTAGACCGTGTGCGAATTAACACAATCAAACATTTTCAGGTGAAAAAATTTTTGTTTTAGACAGTAAATGTTTCATTCAAACTTCCAATTCTCGCAGTTTTCACAAATTCTTATGGATCTCCAATTTGATTATATTCCGATTTGAGACGTATAAAAATCAAGCCGGTTAATCTATCTCGGCTTCAGTTGAAAAAACTAAAAAACATTAGCTGTGTTCCTTTGAAAAATTACTTCATATATCTACAAAAATTTGATTTTTTTAAGTCCATTTTATTTCTCTGATATTCGTTTGATTCTAAAACTTAAACTATGTGCTTTCAGGTATACTTTCCTTTGCCTTTTGTGGAATATCATCCCCAAATTGTTGGAGCATATGAAGCACTGCAAAGTATGGTGGATACCAATATAAAGAATCAAGCAGGGCATGAAGTGGAAGAGAATCAAGGAGTTCGGGCTCCTCAATCGGCTGTAGTTGATTCAAACATTTATATGAGCAAGCTTCGAGATGCCACTTTTAAAAGAATTTCAAAACCACTTGTTATTCATAAGGTAGTAATGCTAATTACATCAGTACTTCTGACGTATAATGTTCCCTTGAGCATTTATTCATAAGAGCGTCATTTGAAGTGTTTTCACAGTGATACGTAAAATTTATTAGAGAGCACTATCGTTATGAGTGATGTATTTATGGACTTTTTTGTTGTAATGCAGCTCATTTCAGAATCGAGGTCACTTCGATTTTTCTGATTTTTCTGTGTTCTCTTTATATGGTGCTGACTTCGTGGGAGCTCGTTCACGTCTCAATGACAAATCAGTGTTACTGGATTTATCTTCATTGTTTCTTGGTCAGAAAGATATACATATAATGCGAGCAGTGGAGCCAGCATTGCGACTGCGATATCACACGCGTGTTTGTAGTTCAGAATTGGTAGACTTAGACTACAACCGTTGCTTACTTAGCATGCGGGAGGGTCTTGCTTCCAAAGATCAATTAGCACATTTGTTACTTAGTCAAAGGGCATGGAATGTAGTAGCTGCATAAATTTACTGAGAAACGTGAATTTTACTAAAGTTTGCTAAATTCTTTGTGGAAAATTTCCTAAATGGAACTAAAAGAATTTCCAAAAATAGAAAAAGATACTGACTTTAATTTTGTTCAATTCATTTGCTTTTTTTCAGTAAATATGAGATAATAAGATAAAATTTTATTGTTTTTTCAGCTTGCCACAGGATATTTTTTGAACTTGATTTGTTGTTTGCACTGACTAGCATCTGCTCATTTTTCTAATTCACGATCATTGGATTTGTTTTAACTGCAATTTTTTCTATACAATTGTAGAAGTTTGTTCATCAAAAAATATGTGAACAATACATGACTGGATCGTATTTTCATTGTTTTCTTGTACTTATGCATCATTTTTAAGTTATTTAAGCAGCTTTACAAGTTTTGATTGGTGAAAGGGAATTATTTCGGGCTAGTTTCTTGTTTCTATTTATTACATATTTTTTGAATGTCTGATTTCAAAAATCTGCATTTTAAGTGATTTACATATCGATTTGAACCATGAGCTATTGTTTAAACTGCCTTGTATATAAGTTCCTTATGACATTTTTGTTAGTGCATGAAATACCAATGGTGATATCGCACAGCATATATTTTATATCTTGTGATATTTTTACCACAGAGTGTTTCATAGGTCCATAAAATGTTGTTTAATGTCTTTACTAGTCGTAAGAAATGTATTTGTTATTTCTGCATTTAATATTTTTTGGTCTACAAAATTTCCGTGTTCATTGTGTACAGCTGTCGGTGTTTGAAGTTCAAAGAAAGTGCGTTAACCAAGTATTCCATATCACTTGTAGAAGTGTACGAAGCCGTGTGTTACTTTTATTTTGTCATAAACGTTGAATGTGAAAAGATAATTTTATTACTTGGCTTCATTGCTTTGTCTCTGTAATAAAATGACTACTTCAAGCTTGCTAGAGACATATGAGAAAAAAGTAATTTGCGTGAAGCACATATTTTCGCTGGTCGTAAGTATGAATGTTCTCTTCCATTTTTCAGCATATATGTATGTGTGCAGCTTTAATTAAGCTACACTTTTTATGTCAAGAAGTAGTTTAGGGAGGATGGTACTAATTATACATGTTTTTGCGCTACTTCTATGTAATTGCTTTGAGGAGAGTGGTTATTACGTCTCAATTAATTCAAAGTGTTCGATACAGCTATTAAACTATCAACATGTGCCATAAAATATAATGGCTTGAGTTTTGTTTCTAATTTAATTCCTTTTATGGGATGTGGTCTTTGGCGGGTTTGATAAATTAGTTAGGAGGAACATATGGCAGTTGCTGTTATGGCTAATGTTCAAGGTGGAAATAATATGTTCCGTACAGGGAATGGTGCAGGTGAGACATTTCATTCATTTAATTATTATAAATTCATCAAGCAGATTTCTTCAAGGTTATATCTTATTTCAGTTTGACATACAATGAACTGGGATTAAAGCAGGTTTTTTGTAATGCTATGCAGAAGTATTAATTTTACACATGTATTCTATTTTTGATTGTATCTTTGTTCGATCAGGAAATTATGCTACTATATTTTAATTAAGACAGAATTATTTTTGAATTGAAATGAACTCTAGTTTGCTTCAATCCTAAATAATCTGTGTTAGGAAAGGAGTATGATTTAATACTTAACCGAGTGAATCCATCTCAGAAAATATTTCTACTTTCAAGTAATTGTAGTTCTTTTATAATCGAATAAATGATACAGTCAATTTCAATTAGTGTATGTGTTTAGATTGAGCTCATATACTTCACTTTTAATTTTGGTATTTTTTATTTTCAATAGCTTGTCAAGTCTCAACATATTCAGTAGGGATTGTCATTTATTTCTTTGAAACGCAACTACTATTGAATATGTGATATTCGAAATTTTATCGAATAAGTTAATATATAAACTTTATTTCAAGGTTTTCTGATCCAAAATGGTGGAGTTGTTCCACCATCACTGCTTCAAGAAAGTCGAGTCCCTCGGTTTTATATAGATGCAATTGCTAAATGTGGTGCACCGAATCCATCTCAATTACCTTGTACCGCTCTCGTTTATAATTTAATGGTCACTTCACGTCTACCGCGTGTTATACTTGGCAACATATGGTCATTAGTAAATCGTACAGTACCTGGTCAACTTACTCGACAAGAATTTTTCTCGTGTTTGGCACTAATTGCTCTGATACAAGTAATTTCCTTTTACATTCCCTCATTTTTATCTCACTGAGGATTTCAACACTCTGGAAATTTATTTGTTATTTACTACTTATTGTATATATGAATATGTAAATAAATAAATAAATATACATATATCATTGGTTAATTATATATTTAAATCTTACATGTATTTTTTTCATGTATATTTAAATCTTAGTAAATATGAGGTAGTTAACCTTCTGTTTTATATCCTTATTAATCTTATTGTCCATTTTGCTAAAATAATTTTAGAAATCTCAAAATATGAGATACAATTTGATTGAATGAGGAAGAATTGAAGGCAAAAGTTTAGTTAAAATGCCATACATTTAGATCAGTAAGTTTTGTGATCTATTAAAGATATACTGTTTTTGTATTTGAAATCTTGAAAATTTCAGAGCACTATGACATTATTTTCACTGCAAATTTTTCAGAAAGGTCAACCCTTGTCAGCGCTTTCAACGATGTCTACATTACCTATTCCACATCTTCAAGCCTGTGCATCATTTTCACAATTTCTGTCTAGTGGAGACAGTTGTAAGGAGCAAAAACCTTCTGTAGACTGTTTCGCGGTACCCTCGAACTCTCCGTTATCTATCCCAACTACATCAAGTGCAATATCACTACTTTCAGATATAAATTTTTTTCTGCCTGTAAGTACTTCGCCGGATTTGGCTCAATCTATTTCAGTAAAACTAATCCCTACTTCACAATCGTACCCATTAATTAGCAACAGTGAAATGCCTCATGCGGATGCTACCGAAGGCAATACCAAAGTTTTTGGTGCTGACTTGAGTCAGTTTCTGGAAAACACCATTAGTTCAAGTAATCAAGTTTTATCGAGCAACGCGCAGCAAACAGCGGATACCTCTTCAGAAGAGTTCGTATTACTGAGTGAATTTTCGAATAATACTACGATATCGACGAAATCAGATCCATTATCTCTTCATTCAGAGATGAGAAATACCAGTTATGTGAATGTTAGTACCAGGAGTTTGGGGCGAACTTTAGAACCAATACGAAGTATGATTTCATATCTTCTTTTAATTTTATGGTACATATTTATAAAATCATAAAAATGAAGTAGATGGGAAATGTTACTTTTTGTTTGAAGTATGAATTTACATCTTAACGGCAATTTTGGCAACGTTTCAGATTCAGATGTTTATGCTGCTAAGAAGTCAGTGGTTAATGAAAATACTGATAAGGAGGTATGTTTTTTATTCATATGTTTATTTTCTTTGAAATCTTTTAACCAGGCAAATATGTTATATTTGCTTCGTGTTTTGATGTGCTTGAAATAATGTCATATGGAATTTGTTCAACATTCTATGCAAGGATTATAGAAAATTTAATTATTATTTTATGCTGATTAAATTGAGAGATTTATGTGATTAAGGAAGAATATCTTTCTGTCTGGCAGCGGTGCATTGAAGAAGCCCATAAATTACTGAGCTCTGCAAATACTCTTCTCCTTGATTCAGAAACTGCATCTGTCTCAGAAGTTGCTCAAACTGATCGCGGAGCGCGATATTTTCATGCACTTTATGAAATTTATGAAGTGGTTTGTAACCATTTTTTATCAGTCATTGATAAGAAAATAAAGGACATGAAATATTTCAACTATTATGACCCAAGTTATTAATAACTGTTAATACTCTTTTGATACTGAAAATATGCATTTTTAATTATTTCTTAGTGAATTTTTTAAATTTGAGGTGATCGAAAAAATTTTTTAAGAAATTTGCTCTTAACAATATGATTGTGTAGTTTTGTAGACAGTACGAATTCGAGAAGGACGAATGAGTAAGCTAGTGAAGCACAAAAAGTTATTTGAAGATATCGATAGAATATGGGCGCGATTGAAAGTGTTTGCTGAGAAGACTAATGATGATAGAAATGAGTCTACAAAAACAACTGGAAATCATCCTTTTTGTGATATCTGTTTATCATATGTTTTGCCCGATTCTCATCTTGAATTTACTGGTAGTATATATCATAAGCAGTGCGCTAATCTGTGGATCAACCGAGTTAATTCTCTCCTGCCAAAAGTGAAAAATTAAGTATTTTGTTAAGTATACCCAGTACAAATGAAACATGAAGATTTTCATTCTTCATTGTACTGGGTCCAGTCTTTGTCGTAAATGTAATTTTTTTAAATCATTGTATTGCTTGTTGTATCTTATATTTTTTAACTGCAGTACCACGAATCTAAATCATTTTGTTTTCATGCATCATTTCCAATTGTTATTGTACCCATTAATCATTTTTAATATGTGTAGATTTTATTCAACTAGTAATTTCAAGACTTTAGTTTTTTTATATTTACTTCAAGTGCCTTGTGGGGGTTTCTTCGTTTTTCACTGCTTTTTCCTTGTTCTGATTTCCTGTCTCTCTAATGTAGACTAAAATGAGTTGTCTGTCCATCTTTATGGATCCCACATCTATTTATTTTTCCGTAGTTCGTTCATTTCGTTTAATTTACTGAAATTAAATGCATTAATTTTGTTTCTATTCTTCATTCAGCTGAATTCAATGTTGTGCTTGTTAGGTTCCAAGACATATGACAAAATTTATGATCAGAATGACGACTTGATTCTGATCATTCAAAGACTTGTGATTTTCATCAAAGAATTTACATAAATTGATAAATGCAGTAAAAACATCATTTCAAGATTTTCTTAGTATTAACGTACTCAGGAATAGAAATTTTCTTAACTTTTTGAGGTGGAAAAACTTATGTGCAATATTGATTTATTAAACCTTGCAGTGGTGAATATAGCAAGTATAAGTGATGGTGATAATAGTAACATTAGTAGTATTAATTGTTCATGATTAACACAGCAGTCTAGTTGACCATGATAGCATAATTTGAATATATAAATTTCGTCTGCTTGAGTACTGTACTACAATGTTTACAACAGTGAAGTTGTTTGTGTGAGTATACATGACAGTTTGAGTTGAATATTGCATTAAGCTAAAAGACAATGAAGTAAGTAATGTATTTGTGGTGTAAAAAGATCATTAATAAGTTTCAAACTAATACAAGATATGTAAATCATAAATAAGTGTTAATATTCGCTAACAAATATCAACGCTACGCAATTTTACTTTGTTGATTTTTCATTACGATCGTTCCTCTGCTTGCATTCGTCAGTTTCATTCTCCAACTGATGCATTTCGTTGCTGTCTTGTTGTGACATTTCAGAATCTTCATAATATTTATAACGATAATTGTTGACTCTCTGATGTTGTTCATTGAGCTCATCTGTTTGATTTGCTGCTGTATAATTGTTTTCTGTCAGATATTGTAAGCTTTTTGATACCGACTTGGTTGATCCTTGCTCATTCAGTTCTAAATTTACTTCTTCATTCTTCACAAATTTGATACTTCCTTCACTATCTTTCATTACTTGACTAGAATCCTTCACAACGTTGTTCTTATCATCAGATAAGCTTCCATTTTCGATGCAACTTTGTGACAGTTTACTAATTTTAAGCTCTTCGTGAACAGGTGAAATAACTGATGACTTCACAGCAAATGTGCAATCTGTATTACTACTTGCAAAATTTTGCACTTCTGTCATAACCGATGAATTCTTATCTTCAGACTGCATGCCCTTTACTTCCTTCAATTCATTCTTCTCTTCAGCACTGTATTCATTTCCGAAATTGCTTGCATCATGCGATTCTGATTCTCTTTCGATTTCTTCTCTTGTATTCCCTTCCTCAGTTATTTTTTGAATCGTATCGCCTCCTGGTGCTATTTCCACTTGTGCTATCTTTATCATATCATCATTTTCAGCAACTTGTGGAATGGTATCTGCAATAGCTACAGAAATAGGAAACAGTTTTGCTTCATCTTCTTCTGTGCTACTTTTCAATATAGCTTTTCTGTTACTAAATTCTGTCAATTCTAATGTTTTCGGCTTATGAAGGGCTTCATTTTTTGTATTGCTTTCTTTTGCGGATTTCTTATCCGTCGTTTCGTTCTTCGGAGTTTTTTCATTTTTTGCTTCTGACTTTTCTACTGTCAAGTTTCCACTTGATCCTCTCTGCTTATTAATCTGAGGTGAATCAGATTTCTTGTTGTCAATATTTTCTTGTCCTTCTTTACGAGTGATCACTTTCGTTATTCGTTTCTCTCCGACTTTCACAGGTGCAGGCACTAAATTTATGCTCAAATTATTATAACTATGCAGACATAAATATTTGATCTGAAAATTAAAGTAGGCTGAAAATTTTCGAAAGTTTCTGCTGATAAGTCAGAAACAAAAAATAATGTGTTGAATTAAAGTGCAGTGAGCGCTGAAGAAGATACTTGTTTTCGATCTTGTTATTGGCAAGGAGGGAGTTGTATGTGATCGTCGTCCAACTTTTGGATTGATTTTGGAATCACTATAATTGTGATTTGTTATTGCATACATCTGTGATAGAAGACGTGGTGTTGAAGAACCAAAAGCAAAACTCGTACGTGTGAATCGATCGCCTGAACCTTCCCGACTTCCTTCAATTCAATTTCAATATTTTGATTTACAGAATTCAAGTAAGAATTAACATTAAAATATTGGCTTGATAGTTACAAAAATTTAATTTATTTCCAGCTACTACCCGTATGAATTTGAAACTCTGTATTTCATATTACGTAAGATTACTGGCAATCGTACTTGCAAATAACCAATCAGGAATTGTTGGTCTGATTCAAGGTGCAAAAGACCAGGGCACTGTTGAACCTGGCGATATGCAGAGTATGTGAGCCAGGTATGCACGACGTGTATGACGTTAACAAAGCGTTCGATTCAGTTAGTCACAGCTACTGATTAAGTGTTTTGAAAGGCTCAACATGCTACCGTGGATGAGCTGAGAAGCACCACATACAGATGGTCAGTTGCTTTAAAAATCGATGAAGAAACCATAGTAGAGAAAAAAACAGCTTTGAATGCGTCAGGGTAACAGCTTTTCTCAGCTACTGCTCTTTTATGCAGCGACCCGTTGAGCCTATGCTCAGTATCAGATATTCAAAGGTGACGGTTTCCACCGATCAAAGAATGCATCTAACGAGCTATTTATTATTTGTTGATGATTACTGCCGACGAGGATATCATGAAAGTCATGGCCGAAGAAGTCCACAGGTTCTTTGAAATAGTAGGGTTGGAAGTGAATCCAACAAATTCAGCCGCTAATAATAAGGTATGCAATGATAAGGCAGCGGTCTTGGAAGAAGCTCGAGGGTAAAAGTAATACCTTGGAATAATGGAACACAAAACTAGCGCACCGACCCGATGAAGCTACGAGAATTGAGCGATTAGCCAGAATTGCACTAAAACGCGAGAACTTTATCAGGTAATGAATGAACACGCTATTACATTGGAATGCTGAAGCTGAGACCAGGAGATTCCAAAGCTATCATATCGGGCAGTTACTAAATAAATACGGAATGCAGAATCATTCAGCATGTTTGGGGAGAACTTATTGCTAAAAAACTAAGATGCGGGCTTCACTGCTTTAAACAAAGAAGTTTTCCAGCTTCATAACGTACTTGTAGAAACTGGGCCCATATCTACCAGGAGTGCGGCGATTTTGAAGCAAGAGCTATACAAGACGCGAAGGAATAATGCCAGATTTCAACTTAACTGGCTGATTCCTCAATGTGGCTACGATACGGAAATGCCTGTAAAATGAAGCACAATACTGTTACTATCAAAGATGGAAATATGTTTGGATAAAATATGTGCCAGCATTATGGCGAACATGTGATGATGATCGACCATCTAGCAACACAGTGCGAAAAAATGTTATATCATGGCTATACGAAAGACACAATGAAGTCCTGCGATGTATTCATTCAGGACTCTGCGAAAAGTATGGTCTGAAAGCATTCCCGCGCTTGCGAAGTCAATCTGTTCCGGAGATACCCGCGAATGAAAATGTTGAGATCAGAGTCGATACGCGAGTGAAAACTGCAAATAGAATTAGAGCGTATGGACCGGGCATCCTCGTTACACGATAAGAAGCAACGTGAAGTAATCCTGATTGAGGTTGGCATCACTACTCAGGACAGTTTGACAGCAGTCGATACCGAGAAAAAGCGAAAGTACGATTTACTGGCTAATAAACTCGAGGCAGAGATGAATTGCAGGACGAAAATAATTCCGTATGTGATGACTTGGGATGGGATAGTGATGAGGTTTCACAATCGTTACGAAGGAAATCAGTATATCTGATCACGTTAAGGCACATATCCAACCGATAGTACTCAAGAAAACGCTCGATTCAATCAGCGCCGTGGATCCCATGAGGATGAGGCAGCGGAAATCAGCACAGCAGAACTGAGCGCGGTCGAGTGCATGGGAATGCCAGAATACGATTCAGTGTCATAATCAGTAATGCAGAAAAGGAGATTGATTTTCTTATGATATTGATAGATTATATAAATATAATTGAAATAATAATTATAATTGTGACGAAAATCAAATTAAAAAATGAATACTTGCAACAAACACACTAACAGGATTTGTTTTGCTTAAAAGAGGAGCTCTTCTTAAGCGCTTATTCTGAAAAGCAGATGAGTGCAAGTCTTCAATTACCAAAGACATCCTCGAAGTCAGCTTCTCCATGACTTTAGCAAAAAACTTGAGCAAAAATTCGCATAATTCCAGAAACTAACTTAAAAATTGCACTTGAGTGACAGAGCATTTCACAAACTCTGCTGAAATTTGCACCATTGGCTTCGGACGTTTCGATTTTCGCTTCTTTCAGCAGTCAGAAAGAAAGCAAAGAGATGTTTCTTTTATGACAGAGGACAAATCTCAAGTAAGCACTAGTCTCTAGCTAAAATATTAAACGCTTAAAAAATCTTAAAAGCTTAGCAAAAAGTTTGATCGATGATCGGTTTCAGAAAATGCATTTATTACAGTAACATTCAGTGACCTTTAGCAAGTTGGCTTTTAAAGCCTAATCAAATAAAGAATATTATCAAAAATACCTCAAAACTGAGGGTATCTTCAATACAACTGAGAAGAATAGGTCAGAAATTAAATTATTTGGATTGCTAGATTGCTCAAAATGCTAAAAGTTGATTCAATAATGTTTTTGACAGCTTTCACATATTTAAAATAATATTCGATCAGATGAAAATATATGTTAAGCAATGAACAATAAATTGCAGAGCCATTACAATCATAATTACGGTAGATAATATGACTATGATAAGATCTTCAAAATGAAAAACGTTGAATTCCAAAAATTAACGCAATTTATTTGCAATTCTTAAAAAGAGTAACTTGCATCACGTAGAAGGCAATATGAAGAGCAAAGTTCCGAAAGTAAGGACGCTTCAGATCGTTTACGAAATCAAAGAATTCATCATTTAAGTTCAGGAGGAATAAGTGAAATTACTTATTTTTTCTCACTTGATCAGTTTATTGTTTTTTCAACACGGTCATTAATTATTCATTCAATAGAAATTTTGTTCTGAAAAATCACATCCAGTTCAAAGAAGAATGTAAGTCAACTAATTAAGTGCCGAATTGATTAGTTTTAAAGATAAGCGTGTCAAAACCACCATGTCAAGAGATATATAGTACTGTCTAAAAAAGAATTTTGGGTGAGAAAGATAGAATTCACCTGACTGAGTCCGAGTTACGGAACGCGCTTGCCGCATGTAGTGTGATATAGTATCAGTTTTAGGTCGGGACGTGGGTTTTACTTTGCAGTCATAAGTACGTAACGTTGCAGGCATATGACGCATATAAGACAAGTCACGAGGCGTCGATGAACCAAATACGAATGTTTTCCGTTCACTGCGTTCCATTAATTTTTTAGTTTCACGTGGTGGGCCAGTAGACATCTTGAAGAAATAATTTTTGATTTTTATTTCACAAGAAAAAAAGTATTACGTAATTATTTAGAAAATAATCTTTCCAGCTTTCAATTTTTTGTCCAACTCACTTCATTTCAGTCAAAACAATAATGCTTGCTCATTTTTCAGTGAGTGAACTTCAGAACTTTCTTCAGTCCTGTACTCATCGACCTTAAATTCACTTTATATCATACCTAACTCGTTTCCAAATTTAAAAGCTGAAGCTAAAATGCAAATCCAAGAATTTTTGGTCATCATTTGAATACGAAAAGATTTCAGTGATAGTGTATACAAACAATAGCACATAAAATAATGTAAAAATGAATGTTTGTACATCTTTGAGAAAACGAGCCTAGCAGTGGCTAACTTGCCTTTGACTAAGTGTTAGAATAGGCCATAAAAGCTAGGCTTTATGTTTTCTCCTTTCCGTCACTATCTGGCTAGTTTGCTTAAGTAAAAGAGACTAGCTAGGCCTTGAGTAAGGAGGCTTAGCTAGGAACTGAGCAAAGTCTTACTAGGTGTCTTGTCAATTCGTTTGTCATCTAGACCTGGGCAAAGAATAGAGTTTACGGATAAAAGGCTTCGTTCTCTCATTTTTTGATCGAGTTAAAAATAATAATGCTCTCAAATAGTCACGAACATTTATTATAAGATTCTGCGAGCTACCCTTCACTTTTCAAATGAATGTACTTCCATACTCAATCGTTGAACAATTATTTTTGCAATAACATTCAATTATTACATTTTATAGTGCAATTTTAGCAAACAGAAACTTTGGTTGGACAGCAAGAAGAGCTTGCTTTATTTCACTTTACTTTACTTTACTTTACTTTGCTTTGTGAACAAATAAAACGCCTTATTGACTATCACTTATATAGTTCAGTTTTTTTGAATATCAGCAACGGTTACTTGAGTGACCACTGCAAGACCAAACCTATTTATCAAGTTTATTACAGGAATTATTGCTTTCGAATGTAGTCAACAAAAGAGCATTTCTTTTCAAGTAAAATGCACTATTTCTGAAGTTAAAAGCAATAAATATATTGCAACAAAGATAACTGAAAAATCAAATTAGTAATTTACACTTGAAGAAATATTCTAAACGATAGAAATTGTAATTTAGACAAACTTAAATTAGTATATTTAATTGCTATTACTAATTACTGTTCTGTACAACAAATAACTGTCAATTACTACACTTTTCTAATTGCATTGTCCGTAAATTATGCAGAGTAAATGGTCTTTCTAAAATTTTTCACAGAAACTCTTTGAATTTGTATAAGTGATCAAAAATTCATAGTCCAGCCACGTGCCACGATAAATGGATAAATTATTTACTTTAGCACCAAACTTATCAGTTATTAGAATCCGAGAGCAAACTGAAAGACAAGAAAGCAAGAGGAAGGTAGCAACAATTCTGCAAGTATTCATGGTGCGGTCAGCAGCAGTTCTATACAAGAATCATTTCTTGACTCTTTGTTAAGACTTTAGCAGCAAAATGATCGCAGCTACAAGTCGGTAGTCTCAGTCTTACTGTTATTAAAAAGAATTCTCATTTCATATTTTGCATACATATAACCAGACATTTTTTTCGATCCAAAGTTTATTTCTTATTTTATTAGATCTGATAAGCTCAAAATGAAATCAATCCATATCAGTGATATGAAGTTCAGAGACAGATGAATAATACTTTTGGCATAAACAAATTATGTTAACTTGAAAAAAAAGCAATTTGAGCACTGGGAGATATTCCAAGTAGCATATAATCATTTCTACAGAAAAAGGATTTCAGTAGTTTGCTTTGGATATTTCAAGAAAGCAAAATGGCATTCTGTCGTAAGCAATTTCGCTCTTCATAAACTTGCTAAATCAAGCATAAATGAATTACAGTACTTGCACTTCATTTACAGTGCAAAAGTACGATCACATGGAAACCAAGAGCTTTAATAATTAATAAATGCTATATTAACCGAAAATAAATTTTTCATTTGCAGCAGTTACGCACCCATCCAAAATTGCCTGCAAATGTCCATTAAAGAATAACCTCTTGAAACTAATATAATGTTTTCTACCAGCTCAAAACTTCCAAATATGGTTGGCAAGTGAATATTCTATTGCATTTTTTATTTTCCTGAGAAAAAGCGAAGATCTGCTTTCTAATGAAGTCAGCTGTACTAGTCAGCTGCGCTACAGTAGTGCTAATACCTCAATGGACTAAAATTTACACTCATCACAGGATAATCTTCAGAATATATTGGCCGAAAAATGATCTCAAAGTAAGATCCGCCTAAAACCAGTCGTATGTAGAGAGGAATCTCTGAATATACTTGATTATTCTTCAATCTAACTCGAGCAAAGTTCGACTCATAATTAAGAGTGTAAGAGCCTTACAAATAAAAAGCTAAAAAAACTACATGAAATAAAAGATCTAATAATCTTGTTGAATTTCTCTGAATTTAAAAATAAATACCAATCAATTGTTAGGTAGGCAAATAAGTTTATCACTAAATCTAGTTGCCAAAGGTCAACTAGACATCACTTAGCACTCCAATATTTTGGAGATAAACGAATTTGGATTATGTACTGAATAACTTATGTGTGGCACATAACAGATTAGTGAAAAAAATGTTTACTTTACAGAAATATTCTAATATATTATAATGAACAGAATATTTTATCTTCTATGAACCATTACTTCTGCTACTTCATAACTACGAAGTACAATGAAACACAGACTACATAATTTCCAGAAGAACTCATAACACAAAAATCAAAAATTCACTTATCTCAAGAAAAGTAAAATCACATTCACAAACTTCGATCTGAAATTTGGTATCAAATAAAATCAACTATAGTGCAAGAGAAAAGAAACTGAATTTCAGTCAAAATATGAATTGACGAATAAATTACCAACACATGTATGTGAAGTGTAATCAATAATTGCGTTTTATCCTTTAAAATTTGCGTGCAATCAACTGACACAAAGATGAAATAAGTCTAACGACATTATGAGATTCTAATAAATTCAGATGATAGTAATAAAGAACTGATATACTTTGATAATTTTGAACAAGTGAAAAACAATAAACTAAATGATGATAAGAAACGCCGGCTTAATAAGGAAAAGTTTTCATATAAAACTGATAGCTTTACAAGACAACAAAATGTGGAAAGAAAAAGAAATTAGACAAATAATCGTATAATTATAATTATTGGGGGGTTTTTTTTTGATAAAATTTTAGTTTTCAGCAGCACAGTGTGTTAATTTTAAATTTAAAAAATAAGATTCATTTCCAAAAATATAGAATGGAAAGCGCTCAAGACAGAGAGGCAAAGCAGAGAAGACGAATGCCAGAGACTGCTTAAGAAGTTGACAAAATTAGCGCCACGATCATACCGTACAGGCCCAATACCTGAAATAACTTTTTTTTTGATGAGGAATACACAAGAAATTAAAGATAGATGAGCCGAAAAAACAACAAAATTAGTCACGGGACCTGTAACTTGATCTCTATTGAGTGAAAAGTTAGTTTATTTAAATGTCCCCCATCAAAATGCCCATTTTATAGAAAGAGAATAAGCTAAATAATATTAACCTCAGAGAAGATCAAAATAAGAATCATGCCAACAAAAAGACGTGGTTGCTGGGCACTTCCTCTTACTCCTGCGTCACCTACAATCCCTATGGCGTAACCGGCACCGAGACCGCACAAACCACATGTAAGACCAGCTGCCAAATGCGCGAAACCCTTGTCTAGAGTGTAACCGGCAGAAGCCTTAGTTACCTTACCTTTAAGTACCATTGCTACCTGAAATTTGAACGATCTGTCCTTTTTCTAGGATCTAGCATAGTTTTTAGCAGTGGAATAAGTCTGATCATTTGTCACAAATTTCTTAAAGTAATTATGGAAAAATTGACCAAGTAATATAAGTAATTTAAAGCTACAAATGAAAATACTTACAACTAAACCGTAGATACCAATGATGCCAGCCATAATGACAGGAATGACTGACTTCATGATTGATTCAGGACGCATTACACCCATACTTGAGATACCGACCGCTGATTTTGCAGTTCCATAAGCAGCTCCAAGTACAGTGAATATCTGAGCAGAAGCTGCTCCCATATATCCAAAAAAGGGTGAATACGCAGGACTTTCTGCTGCTATTAAATCGTACGACATACCTTCTTCCAGTCTGTTTTATTTTAAGGAAGAAACTAAAATAAAAGATTTGGTTAACGAATGTTAGTATCTAGAGTTAGCTAATGCAAGCGAATCAACAACATTTTCATTGTAAGCTAAAACTGAGACCACTGCAAGATAAACTTGATAGAACATGAGAAAAAGTTATCTAAAACAATTACTAAATACTGCACTTCCGCAAACCAGTGCATTTCACCTCCAACACAAAAACAAACTACATTTGCTACAATTGAACACTTTAACATAACAAACCGTCTCAAAAGTACTCTGACGTGTCCCAAAATAACTAGAATTGAATAGCTCAAAAACATAGTATACAACATGAGGCTCAGTATAATCCTCCAAGGGCTACAGGACACAAAAATTATTCAGTAAATATAATAAAAGCTGTTACTGAAAAAGAACACGACACTCTCGTCAATTCACTATTTCCGTGTTTAACTTTGCGAACACTACATAAACAGAGTAAATTGGAAATTAAAGAGTATGAGGAATAATTATGCTCAAACTTTCCAGTCGCTAAATCAGAATCACACTGAAACCGCATTAATTACTGTACCAAAATCGACAAACATATTTGAGGGAGAGTGAGTAATAACGATTGATCCATAAATGAACGCGCATTGTGCTGAAATAATGTCAATAAATAAAGGAATACAGCAAGGATCGTTTTATATGATAAGAGGATTTGGATATGAGAGAAAGTTCGCATGAAAGGTACAGTATCCTCATGACTGATTCAGAACATTTTATGAGTCACCTAATAAAATTTTTAGATAGCAATACTGTCCACGCATGTAGCGAATGATCAGTACTTTCTTAGAAAATACGTGCCTACTCCTCAATATTCCTTATACTTCATGAAAAATCCAACCATGAATTCAACTCTAACTCAAAGTACAAACTAGATACCTATAAAACTTGCTTCCAAGAATTAGTGAGGCGAAAAACTAAAATTCAAACATTAATGAGATATTAGCTTCACAACCAGCAGAACTAATCACGAACAGTGGCGAAATATGAGAGAAAACAAACCATGATGTTATGTCTCAAGAATCCCCACCACCCTACGTTCTATAAGACTTACATTAAGATGAAATGCAAATATGATTGATAAAACAATAAAGATTTATTGTCTGCGACGGACAACAGATTTTTGAATACGCTCAAATATATAGTTTTACTCATATTTATGAACAGATCATTTATTGTGAAATACACAAAAAATAGGTTTAAAATAATAAATTACTATGAAGCAGTGTACTAAAATATAAAAACGTAAAAGATTCTTCTTCCATGTTTGTAAGTTCAATAAACAATACCTCACAGTGGTCGATTTTTCAATATTCACAACAGAAAATCTAAAATCTCACAGTTATCACAGTAAACAAAGACTGAATAAATTTCTGGTATTTGGCAAGCCTACAATATTTTGTTGTTCTTCATAATTGGTGTCAAAGTTGCTGTGCATAAGACAAGTAACTACATAATTAAGAAAATACCCGTTTTTTGTCGTTAAAAAAATCATGAATACAAGCTTGGAATTATCTATCACGATGAATGCACCTAAAATCAATTTTAAAAAACTCCTTGAGAAACACTTTTATCAACTTAAGAGAGAAGATATCAATATGCTGTTTTCTCACAAATATGTAACACAAGCAAACTATGTTGCTCCCATAATAAGAGCAACAATCATACCGTAAAGACCAAGCACTTCAGCAAAAATAAGAATTAAGATCATTCCCACAAAGAATCGGGGCTGTTGTGAGAGTGCACGAACGCCTGCATCACCAGCAACACCAATTGCATAACCTGCACCCCAACCACAAAAACCACATACTAATCCTCCACAGAATGTGCTAAACCCTTGATCAATCTTAAAACCATCTGCAGAAGAAGTTACTCGGCCAGCATAGATTACAGCAACTACTAACCCATAAATTGCAACAATACCTAAAAACAAAATGACGCTTTGAAATGGTAAAATTATATCACTAGAAATCTTAAAATATTTATGAATCATTAAGTATTAAATACTGTCCCGGAAATAACTGATTTTTTGCCAAGTTTGCCTATGTAAAAGGAAATTCGATTTCAGATCTAATTCACGCATTATTAACGTTCATGTAGCAACATTCTAAAGTATTAATATATTTTGATATTAAAAACACACTTCTTCTAATTTACATCAGTATAAATGCTAACACGATAAAGCAGTGATTGGTGCTCAATGATTCTCCCCTCCAAAACAATCGAAAAAAAGAAACTAATGGAAAAATGCTTTAGAAAGAGAGAGGACTGCACAATTTAAGTTGTGAGGATGCAGAAAACTTACCTGCCATCACAACAGGTACAATTGCCTTCATAACAAGATCCGGACGTGTAACTGCCATCGATGCGATACCTGTACCAGCTTTAGCAGTACCATAAGCGGAACCAGCTGCTGTGAACATCATAGCCGCTGAAACGCCAAGCGTACCAAAAAATGGCCCGTACATGGCATTTTCTGGATCTCCCGTTGGTTCGTATATTTCTCTTGCTGACATTTGTATATCTGAAAATCTTTCCTATTATGAAAAGCATCAATTAATAAACTCATGTTTCAAAAGAAGCTCGTATATTTCTCTTAGAAACATCATTAGTTTCTGAATAATTTTTCCAAGACATCGAATTATTCTAACTGGTTAGATTCTAAACATAACAACAACAAAAATTATAGCTCTCTTCAAGACTGAGAACTGCCCCAAAAACAAAACTATAGAATATATGAAATGTAATACTTCTGACAGAGTATGGCTAGTTCTATTTCGCAGATACTAATAAAGATGTTAACTAATTATAATAACTAATAATCATAATCAAGTAAATAAAGGAGGATTTTAGAATGATGAGGCAACATTTTGAGCAGATACTGAGCATAAGTAAATGTAACACACATATGTTTTATTTATTTGACCTCTCTGCATAGATTACGCCTGAATTAGTTCCCATTTTCGAGAAATGTTCTGCAAAAATTTTTACTGAAACGACTTCCAGACAGCTATAATTTTTGTTGTTGTTAGTCAGCAGATTCTCCAAAATTTTCGACAGTTCCTGACCTTATCCTAATCTCTTTTTATTGGGAAACAGTCAGGCAAATAAATACGAACAAAACAATGGTAACTATGAAAGCTGGGGATATTTAATTAGTATTACAACAGACATAAATTAAAGAAATCCGGGATTTCCCGAGCAAAAAAGAGAGATTTACAATACCAGTCACCTAACAACCCAAAACTACGTATATATTACTCACCCACGTCAATTACGTGACAGCCACCTTTAGTTTAAGAACCAAAAACCGAAAAGCATTACGGTAAAGATAGTATGTTTATAACAAATTAAAATGGGTCGCAAACTGAGTTGTGCGTTGCGTCTAGTTAGTAATGAGGCGAGACGGCTATTGGTTGGGGCGTGGTGTTAGGTTGTTTCTGTAATCTGGTGGTTCTGCCACGAGTGTGCGGGGTTTCTGGTGTACTAGACATTTAGGAGTATTTATAGTAGCCTTTTGCAACAGATTAGTCACAGCTAAAGTGAAATGTATGAGTAGGGCCATCTGTGGAAGTTAATGTTCTGCAAAGATGTCAAGTTTGAAATTGAAGATGTTGGTATTGAATGGATATCTATACTTTGAGAATCAAAATGAAGTTTCCTTATCTTTTTAAAGCTTAAATTAGCATAGTGTCATGTAATTACAAACAGCGTGGATTTGCATTTTCATTGGTAAAGTTCAGAATGTATACACATTTGTTGGTATGTTGACTAGTAGTAGTTTGGTTGCAATGTCTTCTATATGAGTATTTATTCATTTTAGCTGGCTAGTTGAGAAGCTTTAGAAGCATGACAGTGTTTTTTATATAAAGTAGGAAAGATTATGGGTATTTGGAGTTTGCACGTCTTTCATTCTTTGTGGCAAAATTTGCATAAACCTTCGCAATACTTTTTTTCTTTTTTCACAAAAACGTTGTGTGATTGGCCTAGTACAGATAGGTTTTGCAACATTGACTATGAGTAATGTACGGATTGCTGTTGAATATATTTTGGAAATATGTGTTATTTTAGATTGGATGTGATAGGTTAATAAAAAAGTTGAGATATGTAGCTGAAAATGGTGATGAAAAGCCGCAGAACTAAAGTGACGCAATTACGGCGGAAGATTTGTTCGCAGAAGATTATGACGAAAAAAGGAAGACGAAAGCGGACAAATGGATACATAGAGGTTACTTTTGACTTTTGTGTAAAGAGGTCTTGGGATATGTGTTGCTCTTGAGACTTTTCAAAATCATCGACTTTTATTTTCGTAATTTAATTTAGTTGTTAAGATCCAGAGAGTTTGGATTCTATTTTTCATGTGTTGGATTGAAATATTCTAGCTTATATTGCATTTTATTGTGCACCTGAGATTCAACAGTAAGTAGTAAAGTATTATAATGTCAAGATTTCAGAACATCGAAATGCCATTGCCTTCCACATCATTTTCACAGTCTGCGAAATTGGTGTCGAAAATTCGCCCGCATATTGCGAAAAGTGATAACTTGGTTGAAGATTGTTTCCCGTTCTCTGAGCTTCCTTTGAATGTTCAAAAGAAAATTTTGTCCTACTTGCCATTAAAGTATGTTTTCTGAAACTCATGTGTCAAATGCTTTGGAAGTCTGTTTCTTGTTCATATTCGGTATTTCCTTGCTCTCTAGTCAATGTTAGGTATTTATTACTGTTTACCTCAATATTTCAACAAAAATTGTAGATGTCGAGTACGACTTGAACGTGTTTCAATGACCTGGAAGAGATTACTCAATATTTCGTGGCAAAACATGACTTTTGCCGACATTCCTTCCACTGTAACAAATTCCTTCCAAATCAGGCCAATTGACGATCATCATGTGTGTGGATTTCTGCAGAAATGCGGGCGTTATTTGCGTTATATTGATTTTTTGATCCCGCATGTCAATATTGGCCGGCATGTTTTGTTCAGGTAATTTATTTATAACATCTTGATTAATGGTTTGTGAGATCGGATTTAAAGCGGCATCAAATAATTTCCAATTTTCCGTTTTTAGGAATGTAAAGTTACTCCATATTTTAGTATATGTCAAAGATGTGTAAATTTGCGAGAATTGCGTTTGATAACGGATGTGAACGGTTGTGCAATGACAAATTTGCTCAAGGAGTACAGTCATCAGTTAGCTCAGCTTCAATCGCTTAGTATTAGTTATCAAGCTCAAGACGAATTTAACAATGGAATGCGGTATACCTTTTATTTCAAGTTTTACTTCTGTCATTCTCTCATTTGAGGTATTTTTGTTCACGGTACTGAGTCTGAAAATGAATTTCTCTACTTTTGCCTATTTCATGTGTGTTTTTTTAACTTTGCTATTCCTCGATTTTCAGTGCCGTAGCCCGTTCAATGACTGAATTACGCACTTTTCGTTTGGACTGTTATACAATGCCGTCAAATGTGTCTGCTTTGTTTCCTAATAGTCCTCATATGAAGATATATTCTCTTTTATTAAGACAGGTCCAGAATCTTTTTTTTACTCTTTTTTTATATGTTTGATTACGATTAGATATTTTATCAAAATTTTCAAACTTTTACAAGTTGATTAGACATTTTTTAGCCATCAAATATTGGTGTAAGCAGTAGTTCGTCAGCAGTTGGATCATCTACTATGCAATATGACTGTAAATATGTTCGTCCTGAATTTGTAATCGAATTCTTTGCTTATTTGGGAGATGTATATCTCGAACTTGAACAGCTTGATATTTCATTTGATACCAATTATCCGGTAAACGAGGAAAAAATATATCATAACTTACGGTATTTATTAATATTAGACGGATATTATCTCATTAATCTCATTATTTTTGTAATTCAAGCACATTTTTATATAAATTGTTAAACGAAATATTTTTAGAATGATAGGGACTTCACGCCCACTAAAACGCTTGAATATGCGAATTGCTGCACTTCTCGATAACAGCACAGAGTGGTTTGGAACGAGAGCTTTACAGGCTTTAGCTTATTTTCCTACTCTCACGCATTTGTCGTTGTGGACTTGCGCTCTACCCGCTGATTTACCTGAAATAATAGCAAGTTCACCATTAGCAAATAATTTGACAATGTATGCTTCGTCATTATGCAGCTATTGCTATTTAATCATTTTACTGCAGTTTCAGTTTTTTGGAATCCACAGAAACGTATTAACTAACGGCAGTAAATTAGTTGGTAGCATAGAATATGTAGGGAAGTTGATAAGTTGACAATTGTGTATGTTGTAGTTAGTTATATCGTGCTTATTTTCTTGGTACATTCAGCACAAAATTCCATTATCAACTTTACTACGGACTATAAATTCTAGGTTGCGGTTAGCAATCGTGCGCAATTTATCAAACACTATGTTATGCGCAATATTTCGTGTTTTGCCATCACTCACATCGTTCACGCTAATTTATAGTGTTGACGGACGTTTCATTTGTCCACCTTGCATTGATGTCTTTACCTTCGTGCATCTTTTTCAGGTAATAATTAAAAATTGTATTTTGAAGCATTTGTCTGATAAATTTCTTTTTCTAATAAGAAACATACCGGGTTGTTTGGCTTTTCTTGTAGATTACTGCAAGAGCACAAAGACATACTCGACATGCTATGGAATTTTAAGTATTATTCACATCGCAGTTATGAATTCTCATTAAACAAATTTCAAGTCTTGAATCGATTTGAATTAAAGATATATTATTTATATGCACTCCATAACTGTAATTTTCGACTTCATTTTTCTAGTGCTGCCCTAAAATAAACGAGTTGGAATTACATGATTGTGTGACAGTGAACACAACACGTTTGGCTTTTGCGGCTCATTCCCATTTTCATAATTCAAACGCTTCTTTGAGGCATGTTATTTTTTCTTTTTCTGAGTTTGTAGGGTTTTTTTTTTTGTGCAAGCTGGAAAACAAAAGAAATGAACATAAATTTTCAGCAGTAGTGATCGTTTGAAAATAATAGTGAAAACAAGAGAACGCAAGAGACGACGTGATTTATCAAATAGATTATTACGGTGTTGTACAGAGATTGAGTGCACGCAAAATACAACAGTAATTAATATTTATAAAACTTGTTCTCATCCAGAAAAAAAACGTCAGTCGAAATAAAAATTCAGTGGTTTACGCAGCTTAGATACATCTACAGTTTTTCTCAATTTTTGACATTAGTTATGTTCAGTTTCTTTATTAGTTTGCAAACTTATGAGAGCTTTTTGGTGACATGAATTCCAAGATTTAAAATGCTGCTGTAATTTTCACTAACATCTCGAGTTCCTCTACTTTGCTGATTTGTATAAATTTTTATTCTTAACTTGCATCAAAATAGTTTCAAATATGGTTATCATCGTATAAATTATTTCTCTTGTCTTTCTTTGTAATTTCGTTTGAATGTAAATAGCTTTGAAAAGTTTACTACCTTTCGTTGTTTTTACACTCTTTTCCTTTGATTTTTTGTGAAATTTTGTCTCGTAACATCTATTTTATTCTCACCACAATAGGATTTCAGAATGTATTGGTTCCGGTTGAAGCACAATAATTTCTTTGAAAGCTTTTTCTCGTTCATTGATCTTTTGTCATTGTACTGCCTTGTAAATTTTGTTTTCATGCCACTACTTTGTTATATTGCTGAACATGAGATATATCTTTACACTTGCTGTTAATTCTTAAGAATCACCAACCATCATGTTTCACGGAGGGATTTTAAAAGTGAGTTCGGTGAAAAACTTTATTTAAAAAAATCCTGCTCAAAATGGTGCTTTACTCTATACTACGTAAGATCAAGCAGTCTCACGACGCATCATTTTTGTGATGTATCTCGTTGTGCTAAGTTTTGCGAGCATAATATGAATCGAAAGCATCATTTGTCTTGCTTGAACTCAGTAAATGTATAGGGGTTTATGTATTATTTCATAAACATTTCGTACCACGCTCGTTATTCTCAGTTGTATGACGCTATTGATTCTCTTTCTAATTTCAATTTGATACATGCTTCTGAACGTATTTTTGCCCATCGGCTGTTCTTGCATCTGTCAACTTTTGCATGTCGTTTTCTACTACTTAATTTTATCTTTTTTTCAGAAGACTTGTTCGGTGACTAGTATGTGAGCTTTTTGCTTGTCAAGTATTGTATATATATATATATATGTGGGTTTTTTTGTAAGTGTTGAGAATTTAAATTTGATTTTGTTAATTAAAGTTTCTCTAGACTTTCAGAATGTGTTGCAAGCTTTCTGCTCGTACATTTTTACAAAGCTGTTAACTTTTATTGCAGGTGTTTAGCAACAAATAAGCTTTAAACTGTTGATGACACTGTATTCTGTATGGGGTTTTGTGTTTCAAATATGACTTATTCTCTTGTAAGTCATATTTATTGCTTTTCCTGTTACGAGCTTAATAGTAAATATGGCATATTTCACGAGATAAAATTATTACCAAGGCTTAATTGTAAGCATTAATCTTATCAATACCAATGAGTCGCTGAATTTTCTAATAATTCCAGCTTGTGTGGTAATTCCAGGACTCGTTTTCATATTGCAGCAACCATGGTTTAACAGACAAAATCATTCGTTTGATACATGCTGTGTAGCGTGAACAAAATTCCCCAATGGGGCAAACAAGGTGTTTTTGATAGTACTCTTCCCAGTGTTCACTTGTCTTTTGTTTTACTTAACACCGTAAATATATTCAAAAGGTGTAGGGAAAGTTTGGCTACAAATGCCTCGTAATTCAAGACCATACTATTGTGAACGATGTTTCGGATTTTATACTTTGTTTCAAGCTGTTAATCACTTGTTTCAGATTTTTTGCCTGAGATTTTGCGGTTACAATGCTTTCGGTTTTTAATGTTTTCTTTATCTGCAGGAATGAAAATAATATTTAATTGTTGGTCATTTCTACGACGTTTGCAAAGTAAGCTTTAAATTATTTCAGAAGTGACCATAAGTTCAGTATTAGGATATCTTACAAAAAGAGAGTCGAAGATTTATTACTAATAGAGATAACTTGTAGCCATCGTCGTTATTTTTCGTCTAGAGTGGGTTTACTTTATTTTTGATTATTGTTTTTAAATAAAGTGTTTTTAAGCTCTTCCTAGAAGCAAGACTTTAAAAAGATTATTCTTGATCATAATCATTACCAAGATATTTCTTACAATTATATTAATCGGGATTTGGAAGAATTATGTTGTCTCAGATCATCAGCTGTTTCACTGGTTTGTTAATTTTTTGAAGATTTATGAACGACAGTTATTAAATGTAAATTTTTGACATGTGATTTTGCTAAACTTGTTCTGAGTTCATAGTCTACTTGTTTCGATTTTAAAATAATTTTGGAATTTATAATTGTTTCAGGCATGTACCTCCGACAGCTGCTGCTGCCATACATATTTTATGTGTGTTGGTGCCTTTCCGTAATCGTGAGAAAGAATTGCAAATATTCGCTCCTTATATTGATGATTTCCTAAATAAGCAGCGAGTTCTTCATAAGATAATTGTTTTAAATCAGAGCGATGCTTTAAGATTTAATCGCGCATCATTGATCAATGTTGGATGGTATGAAGCGGATCGGGTACTGTTTTGCAATTTGTTTGAAATTATTATATCTGCTTTCGAACGTATAACTCTATAGTTTTCATTATTTTAAGGGAGCAAAAAGTTACAATCAAAAAGATTCGCATTTGATTATATCAATCTTCATTCCTCAGTTTAGGTAGGATGTGATTATATGGTAATGCACGATGTCGATCTTTTACCTCTTAATTCACAACTAGATTATTCTTATCCTGGAAAAGGTGTTGTCCGACATGTATCTTCTCCGGAATATCATCCACAGTAGTTTTCAGTCTTCTCCTTTATTCCTCTCTACGTTTCATAAGCTTTACATTCTTGGTATTGAATTTACAGATATAATTATTCCAAATTCGTTGGTGGCATTTTACTTTTAACGACATATGATTATAAAATGCTGAATGGCATGTCAAATAAGTACTGGGGATGGGGTTTGGAAGACGACGAATTTTATTTGCGTCTTCGGTTTGTTTAGCTTTCGTTTAATTTTACGAAAATATTAAACAAGTTTATGCAAAGAAATGCCTGAAGTCAAAATTATATTGAAGGCAAAAAAGGGATAGTTTTATTGCTCTTTGTTGAAATGAATTTAAGATTATAGTTAGCTGTTCTAACTAAATTTAAGAGACGCAGATTTGCTCACAAAGCTTCAAAGACCGGTGAATTTATCAACTGATCGTACTAATACTTTTCGTCATATTCATGATTCAAAATTACAGAAAAGAGATTACAAAAAATATGGAAATCAGAGAAAAGTGAGCTCTGTTTGTTTAATTGACTCAAATTTCATGTTAATAATGCGGTCTTATAGGCTTTTATATCTCTGTCTTTTTTTTCAAAGTAGTTTGCTAGTTTATTAAGAAGGTATTGAGTTCACAAATTCATTTTTTTTTTCAGATGGCTCATAAAAGAGATCGCTCTAGTGGCTTAAATTCTGTAAAATATCGTATTGCTGGACGAAGTCTGCTTCAGTTTCGCGGAGAGAATAACTTGGTAGTCTCTGTGCTTAATATAGAACTGGAATGTGATTTAAATTGGACAAATTATTGTAAAACACCACCGTAAAGAGAGCTTCAAAACTTCGTGCTTTAATATTTCTTTGTTTTAATGCCACTTCTTTTAAGGATTCTTTACATTTATTGAATTTATTGATATGTTGTTTCCTTTGAAAATGCTTGTATCCGTACTTTATTCTTTAGAGTGCATTTGAAGAATTTTAAACTCATGTAAAATTATGCTTCTTTTGTTGTATCCAAATGCTTTTGATATAAATACGGTTAATTTTGTTTGCTCAGTAATAAATATGCATGTGATCTTTTCATTATTTTCACCTTTATATGTGGTCCTGACATATCATTAATGTTATTTGTTCTATAAATGACGCGGCACAGTTTCTAATCGCATATTTTTTAGGTAGATATGAATATGGATCTTGTTTTTCAGTAATTTGAACTGAGTTATGCGTTTGTAGAGCCATGAGGTTTCACATGCGTTGCTCTGTTTCATAAGAGAGTTCAAAATACTAGTGCATTTATTAATTTGCTAATGTTTAATATTCTATTAGGTTGGGTTCATGATGCAGAATATATAGGTTCTGGAACTGTGTTTGAAATAATTACCTTTAAGCTATTGAATTCAGAACGATGAGTTTCACAGTTGATGGTGTTGCAGTCATAGCAGATCTAAATTGGCTTTTTGCTGAATCAGAAAAACGGTGTTTGATTGACTCGGAACATTGGCAAGTTTTAATATTTCAAAGAGCGGGTTCATTTCTTACTTTGCTCACTTTTGTGTCTTTTGTATGTTGTGAGATTCTTCATTCTTCTTTAATTTGTCTATGATAGTATTTAATTTTGCAATGATTGGTTAAACAGTTCATTGATGTTATAGGGCTAGTGAAATGCTCTTTTATCTGAGTGATGATTGGCATAAAGCTTATGTCAAACAGAAGCCATCGGCACCAGAAAAAGTCGAGAAAGCACCGAAAACGACTGAACTACATCGAGCTAAACTTGCCTCTTTTGGTCGGTAACATTGGATTTTCTGTCATTTCGTTAAAAATATGAGTGAAATTAAAGGTGTGATACAAAAGTTAAAGGAAATATTTCCTGCATGGTTTTAAATTCGTAATATATTACATATTTGACCGTAATTTTTTGCAACTGGTCAGATAAGTTTTTGAATTTAATATAATAGTTGTGCATAAATTACATTTTAATGCAGTTTTTTGATAAAAGTGCATGTTTTTCGATAGCAAGTAATTTAATAACAGGTAGTTTTCTCTATTTTTCATTTCTGATATGTTTTGCAGGAAAATCATTAATTAAAAAACGTGAGTTTTACCGAGCTGCTTATTTTTTAAAGCAGTTGAAAAATGAATCTTCATATGATCGATTTATGTATTATTGGGCAAGATATTTGGTTCGCAATATATTTGATTTTTTTAAATTAATAACAAAACTTCTAGTATGCTTCTAAGGCGATAAAATGGCATCCGCATTTGTTATCAATATTATAAATATATAATGTTTTATTATTTTCTCGTCATAATATCCATGTCTAGAAGTTTATGAAAATAGTGAATTTTTTACTGCAAACTTATTTATCACATTATAAAAATAGGCGTATGAACACAATCGGCTTGAAGCTGAAGCAGATGCAATCGGTCGATATGAATTTGACAACACGGAGTTCAAAGAGTTACATAATGAACTTTGCGCACTTGGAAACAACCATCCAGAATATTTCGATACGTTTCTTCTGTACCTGTAAGTTAAAATAGGGATGGCGATGTTTTTCTTTACTACTTTCTAATAAAAACAGTCGCTGTAGATCTAGACATCATGGACAGAAATTTAAGAAAATTAATGAGCTCAGCACTGAAAATAAACTTGACCAGTTCATGTGATGAATTAGGAAACGTTTTGTGATAGATATTTTTTGAGACAAATTGTAGTCTTGGCAAAGTGCGCTGCAGTTTAAAATTAGAAGAGATGGCAAAAGAAGCATTTCTTGAATCCATAATGCTTAATCGAGCAATGTGGCCATCATGGGAAGAACTAGTTATGCTTTTGGATTCTGTTGAGGAGGTAAGGTTGTGCTGGATAGCATTTATATCATTTTGGAGGGGAAGTGCTGTAGAAAAGTGTCCAATATTCTCGAAGCTAATCATTCATTGTGTTTGAATTTGTAATGTGAAAAGTGTGAATTTAATATGATGTTTTGTGAAAAAATGTAATTTTCAAGCAATTAATTTTAGATAGAATTAGAAGAATATTCAGTGGGCGGACATTGGATGTATCAATTTTTCAAAGGTTTGGTGCTTGCTCGTTTTCAGCTGCACAGAAATGCATTAGAGCAGTATGAAAAGCTAAGTGAATCAGGTTTTCCTAATATGCCCTATATCATGAATAAAGCTGCTACTGCTATGAATAACATGCAAGGTTCGCATTTTTTAAACTTCAAATTAATTTTCCAATTTTGTGTAATTTCATTTTTTACTAAAATTGGGATGTATTTTTATTTAGAGCATGATATGGCATTGCAGTTCTTCCAAAAAGTACGCAAGGCTGATCCATATCGTGTTGATCAGATGCACTTGTATTCTGACTCGCTATACGTTCGAGTTAGTTTGTATTTGTAGTTTAAACAAAATACATTAATTTTGAAGTACGCTATTAAAAAATTAAACTAAATTCAATGTCTTCTGTGTCAGTTTTTTGAAGTATTTCAAGTATGCTTCACTTCGTCTTTTAAATAGTATTTTCTGCTGTTTTCAGGGATTCCGTTCAGAATTGGCTGATCTTGCTCATTCTTTCTTCAGAACACATAAATTCTCTTGGGAAACATGTTGTATTGTAGGTAGGTAAAATTACTGGCATCTAAATTTTGAAAACTCAGTTTCGTGTTCTGTTTTGATTTATTGTATCTTAAATATACTGAATAAAATTTGGGGAGTATTGAAAAAACATTGATAAATAATGATTTGGATTGGTTTTTCAAAGTTATTTTTGTAACTTTTAAATATTCATGAAACTCATTTTAGCAAATTACTATAGTTTGCGTGGTGATCACGAGAAGGCTGTTGTTTTCCTTCAACGGTCACTTAACCTCAATCCGAATAATTCTGCAGCTTGGACTTTGATCGGACATGAGTTTATGGAACAAAAAAATAATCCAGCTGCATGCCTTGCATATCGGAAAGCAATAGGCAGGCTTGACTTTTAAACACTTTTCTTTTAAAATGTTCATATACATTATGTTTAAATCACATTTGATGATATTGGGTCAAGTTTGAGTGGTATCAAAACTCATTACATTATACAGCAATTACAAAATAGTAGTAAGCTTATGTACGACTCACCGAAGAAGTATAATGTATAACAATAAAAATTCATATAACTTTAGTTACGCTTCATCTTATGGGATAATGTAGATAATGTTATACCATTAAAAATCTGAATGAATTAAAATTGCAATGGAGCTATATCGCTCTCTCAATTTTACTTTAAAATTTTAAGAGCATCTTTGATTTAGAAGCTGATTCACATGATTATCGTGGTTGGTACGGTTTGGGGCAGTTGTATGATATACTGAAAATGCCTTCGTATTCATTGTACTATTATCAGCAAGCTCACAAATGCAAGTAAGTTTTTGATGTCATTAAAAGCCAATAAAAAATATAAAGATCATACTGCGCATTAATCTGCTGAGAATCAATAGACATGTGTGTTAGTTGCTATTTTTGATATCCCTTTAGACTTTTGCTATATCAATATTTTGGAATGATGTTAATCTATTTTTCGACATTACTACTCACCCATATTTCACGTAATATACTAAAGAAAATAGTGCATTATAAATTTCTTCATGTACTGCCTTCTGCAGACCAGATGACTCGCGCATGTTAGTTGCACTAGGAGAAGTTTATGTACGACTCAACCAAATTGCTGATGCTCAGAAATGTTTCTTGAAGGCTTATAAAGTTGGGGATGTTGAAGGAACCGCTTTGATGTTGCTTGGAAAGTAAGAACAATTTTGTCTAATTTTTCTTTTCAACTATTTCTTTCATATCATTTACTCAGAATGATAATTAATATACTTATTTCACAGTAAAATGTTTTCAGTCGTCGCAGTTTTCAGTAATTTTTTGATGTTTTGAAGGCTTTACCAGAAAAATGGAGAGGACGATCAAGCTGCACTCATTTATGAAAAATATTTGAATGTTTATGGAGAAGAGCTGGTTAATCCATTTATTTTCTGTTTGCATCTTTCAGTTTGCGACATTTTTATTACAAAATAAAACTTTGTATCATTTACCATCTTTTGAAATTTGGGCTTTAGATTGATGATTTCAACAATATTTCAACATGCTGCTATTTTCTTGCTAAATATTATATTAAAAAGCGTGATGTAGATTCTGCTATTCCTTTCGCGCAGCGTTGTTTGGAATATGAAACTGTATGTATTTTCATTTCATTTTCCTTCTGTATATGAACTTTGTATAATGAGCAACTTTTTTAATGACATTATGTGCTGAATCGCAGGATCTATTTTCAGACGAAGGAAGAAGGTCGAAATACGCTACGTCAAATAAGTCAGATGCACCATCGACTAACAGCTGCAATTTCTGAAGCAACTGCGCCTGGAGAATCGTCAACTGGGAATGTTATTCGCGGAAGTTCAACGTAAGTTAAAGCCTATTAATCTAATCTGCATCTATTACCAAAGAAATAAACAATATCTCATCCCATTTTTGATGAAAAGATCATTTATGACTTGTTCACATGTTAAATACTACTCATTAGGCCTCATGATCTGCGTGGAACGATAATTGAAGAGGGCGAAGCTGAAATGCTTGTTTCGTCCGATGGCTCCGATGTCTCCGAAGACTCATCGTTAAACACTTCATACTAAGATCTATTATTCTTTTTTTTAAATTGTTCTAGCCTTAAATGAGAGCTACTGAAATGAGGTGATGTTTTGACTCAGTTGTATCATGTACTGTGATAGTAGTTCAGTTGATAGTGAGAAAGTTCTTAGCATTTGCGGGATCGCTTGTCACATGTTAAAAAGAAAACTTAGCCCTAATTCTATAGCAGCTGATGTCCAGAAAATGCATGTTCATCAACATTAACAGTCCAACCTTAGTAATTGTTGTAGTATTCAAATATAGATCAAATCTGTTACCTCACATTGAAGTACACCCTTAATTGAAATACACGTGCTGTTCAATATTTGCTAATGATATCTCATGTATATATAAACCTTTGAACAAAATGCATTATTCTGGTTTATTTGAACGATATGCAGCTTTATTTTTGATAACATATACTTATCACGAAAATATACAGCTTTTTGTCCTAGAAAACCATGTTTATTCAGATAAGCAATTATTCACTACTGGAGCCACTAGAATAATTATTCAGATCCTGCAGTGCAGATGAAATTGATACAGTAGCATGTGGCTTTTCAACAATCATTTTTGGTTTTCCTTCTTCTTCAACAGTCGTCACTTTCATACATACAGAACTGTTTGCCACCTCCGCAACTTCGATTTTCACAACTGCCTGTTCAGCTCTTTGTATATGCTGCTTTTTAGCAATAACCCTTGACAAGATTTCTTTTTGTGAAGGTCGCTTACTCGCTATATATGTCGAGCCTTGTTTCGAAACATTCGGTGTCCAGTTCTCTGTATTAAGAGAAGAACAACTTGGTTCTTGGCTTTCTGAAGGTTCACATTTGATTTCCGATTTAACTTTTACTTCTACATTGATGTCTTCGTCATCATCCAATATTCGTTTAATAATTTTGCCATCTTCAGTCCTTCCATATAATTTTCGAATAAACTGTTCATCTTTTTCTTCTTGCTCTCGCAAAGCCTTAAAAATTAATCATATTTCTACATTATAAAGTAAACTGAAACTGAAAGAGTCATTCCATATTCAACCATAATCATAATCAAAAAATTGAATGACTTCCGCCTGCTCTTCTGCCAAACGCCTTAAGTACTGATCTGGACCATATGTTTCATGACGTCGATTTGTTTCTTGTAATTCTTCTAGCTTCCCTGAAATCTAGCACTAAACTTTGTAATTATAGATTTCATAATAATAGCAAAAGATTACTTTACGGAGCAAACTTATGCACACATCAAAGTTGCAGTTTTTAACATGAGCTGTATAATATATCATCATAATATTCAACTAATTTAAGAGTTCAACATGCAATTTTTTAATTACAAGTCACAAGAGTCATTTATTTAAAGAATTATATTTCGAAAATGATGGGCGACCAGATCCTGCAACAATCACCTTACCATTAGATAAATTTGCTGCAGAAAGAGCATATCACAGAGCATCTTTACGGATTAACTGTAATTCTCTCTGACCAGAATCAACTTAATTTTTTCACCTAAAGCTTCCATTTCAGCTCTACTCGTCTTCGTTCTTTTTTCAAGCATTTTCATAGGATCTTTTTTCTCTTCCTCTTCTTTTGTTTCTTTAGCTTTTTCTTCCTGTTGATATAGCTTGAAGGCTTCGAACAAGCGAGTTGCTCCATGCTCTTGCTGATAATCACAATTTTCCAAATCCGTTTTGAATGTAATTTCAGCCAAACAATTTGGACAACTACAATGCATGTTATAAAAATATACGATAGAAAAATGAATAATCAAAGACAACTTGAAACAAACTGACCGAAAATAAAAGCGAAAAATTTTCAAGCCCAAATACGTTTCACCTTCTGCGGTCTCTCGTCTCATGTTGAACTTTTTTCCCTGAAATCAAATTAGAATTAAACAAAAACTGAGTCATTTAATGTACAACTACTCTTTAAGGGTTCTTTTGAGAAAACAGTACTTACTTAACAAGCTCTTTATACAATTGAAGTATTTCAACTGAAGAAAAAAAGGAATTAAGGACGGGATTCAAAAAGATGACCAAATCGCATTCAAAGAATAAAAAAACGTAAGTTGAACCTTGTATATATATTCATGACATGTATTACACTGCATATTATAAGGTGCCATTACGCGCTGAACGAATTGCCTATTACGCTGACCTTTAGCACGTGGGATTTTCGAAGGATCAAAATCTGGTGGATAGTATTTCTGAAAAAAAAAGATATTAAATTATTATAAGTAATCAAGTAAACTGAGCTAACATAAAAATTATTTGTTTCTAACATGAACTTAACTTACAGGTAAGAGCTGAAAGTCCATTTCACGAATAGTTTACCTCAACTTTTATCAATATGTTGTACCATACAAGCATGAATTATCTGAATGTGATTTTTTTTCAAGTAAATCTAAACCTTTACGTACGAGAAGATAAATTCAAAACTTAGACCAAGACCAACCTGAAAAACTTTCCGCTCCGTTCCCGTCATCTTTGATCAACAAATCTGAAAATAAAATTAAATATAACAAGCACAGAAAATACTTCAAAGTACACAACGTTACTAGTGCACACTAAAGGATATTCTTTAATAAATTTCCCACAAAATTGCGGTCCATGAATTAAAGTTGGGATGAGGTGAAATTTGAGCAGTCTGAGTCATAGGCTAGACATAGTCCAAGTATCTTATTTGAATATTTACTAACAGAATATAGTATATAATGTGTGCAAAATACGAGAATCAACTACTTTTTGTATTGCTATAAGAGACTTCCCTCTTTGTCATAATTTAAAAATATGCATTTGTACGTGCAGATGTTTTGGTCTAAGTAAACTTCGATGATCAATAACAGATAAAAATCAGACTCATTTACTGTTGACAAGACAAACTTTATTTGCAATACTTAGTCTTAGCCGAAATATCTTTACACTCGTAAATGTCATCAATAATAATTGAACTATAGCTTTTTCCTTCTAAATCATTGCAAGCAGTCATTATTATAATTCAAAACACTAACACATAATATTCTCCGTCTCCATCTAAACTTTGAATTAGTCTGAATTTTGATCCGTTTCAAACGAGTTGAGTTATAAGCAGATAATACCATTTTTTGGTAGTTGCAAGCACCCTTTAATATTTGTTTACATATTGTCAAAAATGCAAAATAATTTAAATGAAGTACGTGGGATGTTATAAATTCTGCAGTCAATCAGCAGCTCCAGATCAGTACTGTTGTCCAGCAAGAGCTCTTCTAGCTTGCTGACAGTGTAAACGAATCAGTCTTGCCAGTAGCTCAGAATTCTGCAGTCTAACTGTCCCTATACAATAGTTCAGTCGTGTAGTAGAGCCAGACTTATCCTTCCATTGTGTGAGAAAAAATTTGTCGAAACTTGGAAAGCTTTTGCTTTCAAAAAACATGATAATAAACGACAATTTTTCTCTCTCTTTTGCTCTGAATTTTATTCAGAAAAAGGCGCAAGATTTGTGATTGCTTAGACATCCTTTCGCGAAGGGAATGTGTGTGCTTATGAACGCACAGAATTCATTCATAGAGTTAGCTTCGCTTTGCTTTTCAGTCTTTTCATTTTCAGACAATTTAAAATAAAGAGTGTAAAGTGACGGATTTGGCAGTTGCACTGTATGAATTACTGCGTGTGATAATTTCAGACGATTCTATTACGCCCAACGAGTTATTCCATTTACTGCTTGTACTTGCGAGAAGTAAAGTTGTTTGTGGCATTTGTGATTGAATAAATTGGCATTTTCGCAGTAAGTAAAGAAGCTGAGAATTGAGTACTATTAAGGGTTTCCCCTTGCAAGTTAACTTATTTTGACGAGTCACAAAATTGATTTTCGATAAAAGTACGCAAGTTAGATCAGTTTTTTACTGTGTATTATATGACAACAATTGTATGAACCCGAATGTCTCGTTTCGCTGAATAATTTTTGAGTTGCTCGCAGGTTGTTTTCCAAGCATTGATTCGCCTATTTTTTTATCACTTACTTCTAAACAATGAAACTATACAAATGCATATTGTCATTTAGATATTTCTTACTTTAATAAAAATAATAATAATATAGTAATAATAATAATGATAATAATAATAATAGTTATTATTATTATTATTATTAAGAGTATTGTTATTGATATCATTATTATTGTTATTATTTAATGACACGATAGAAGATGAATGAAGAATTATCACAATATTTCTTCGTGTGGAGAGTTATAGACAGGCGTGGTATAGCCAATTAGTTCAAAAAATGTCTTCGTTATAATTAGCTCTTCTTGCAAATGGACTGAAATAATTGTAATAACTGAAAATTAGAACTTTATAATGAAGTCGTAAACAGAGTAAAAATGCATATACAAGTAATCATTACTGGCTATAAATTCTGGGCAATGACCAGGGATAGGTGCATTTGTTTTCTATTTTCAGTCTATGTGGGCTGTGCGAAGAGCAGTAATAGTAGCACGTTCACAACGTTGCCAATAATTGCTATCGAAAATCGCAATTGAATTATTACTATTACTATTATTATTACTATTACAATTATTATAATATTTATTGCTATCAACGATAACGGTCATTTCGCTTCTCGCATTAGACAAAAGTTTGCCTTTTCTAGCAATTAACTGAAATTATTAGATTGATAAGCCATAATTGAATTGTCAATCAGTTAGGTACTGTTTTGCAGTGAATGAAACTTCATCAAAAGTTATGCTAAAATCGTGAAATGATGAAGAACTCTAAGTGTTGTGGCATCACAGTTCCCTCCTTCGACTGTTTGTTGTTACGAGCAAATTTGGCTATTTTTTGGATTTAGTCAGCGAAAGTGAAATTCATTTCTACCTTTTCAAGTGTTTGCATTTGTTAGAATACGTTTAGACAGTCTTTTTTAGTTCGTTGCAAGTTGTTCTCCTTCTTCATCACAGTTCTGTAAGTATTCCTGATACAGTTCTTGCTTGACTTGGCATTCAATCTTGTATTCGCTTGCGTTATTCATTTCACTTCAGTCTTGCAAGTCATATAATATAATAAATATGCTTGTTGTAGTCGGTTTGATCTGATTTAAATTTATTGTATTCAGTTAAGATAAAATTTACTGGCGGCCTATTTGCTTCTTCTGCATAGCTCATCTTTGCAGCGACTGCAAATCTTATTCAGCGATAGCATCATCAAAAGTATTTACTTTTTTGTTCTTCTGAAATGCTTAATATTAACCACAAAAAAGTTTTTGCTTTACATTGGATTAAGCGTTTGCATTTTCTACATGTCTTATCAACTTATGGTTAATGTGAAACGCAAATTTTAGGTAGACGAAATAAATTTGTGAATATTTGATAGATTAAGTTTAGAATCGTAATGAAGGTAATCAGTCACTTAAGTGATAGCAGTAAGATTACGATGGCTTTTTTCAGTACAGCAAAAGTATGAGAATGGCAAGTATTGACGTATCCATGGTGAGATTTCTAGCCCCTTTCTACTACCTCACATAATGACTTTTCTAATGCTTTATTTCGCAGATTGAAATTGTGCTTTACTTCAGTAATTTTTTCATCAAAGATTACTTTCCTGCCCATTTTATTACATTATAAGCAATCGGTACTTTATGTTTACTTGCTAGAAGTCACGTGAATTATTGATCATTTTGCTTGTCACTTTTTACATTCACCGATTCGTTCATACCACGCTCTCAAGTGCACCACTTTTGTGAAATGTCATGAGGAATAGATGTAAAATACGACTTCTCCACGCATTGAGTCTGGATTATTATAGGCTTAGGGTAGGGAGTTTTAAACTTCAGACATCAGTCTGGAGATTTGTGTGGAGAGAGATGAATCAGTGTGTGTAGTCAAGAAACTGTTTTTTTAAGTTAGTTGAACGACAAAACAAACTTTCAGTTTTACTTTCAATTAAAACCTTTAACTTTTGATTGATTTGATCATTTTCTCTAAATGCTTCAAAAATACTGCAGTGAGAGGGTAGTTGCTTGTGATTGCAACACTGAATCAGTACTGAGAACTATCATCAGTGCAATAAAATTTAACGTGTAAATATAACATTCATTTGAATGAATATAAAAAATTAATGAAAAATGCAAAGAATGCGTGAGTTTGGAAGTAGTAATAATATGGAGTAGTGATTGATGTCCTTAATGTTTTCTCCGCTTTTCTTACCAGCCAACTTCTATTTTCACTTACCTTTTTACTTATATATTAGTCGTTAATCAGTGAGTAATTGAGTAAGTAAGTAAGTGTTATTTTCATTTTTACGTTTGCAATGACTTTTACAAGTATGTTTTCAGTTTTAAATTGCCAATTATTTAGAAAGATAAAATTTTTTATGCAATATTTTGTAGAGTGAATCTAGAAAATAATTCAAACAAACATTCACGTATTAAACGTGAGACTGCATGGGCAGTAAAGTAAAAGAATTAAAAGGGTTGTGAAAAATACAAACTGTATGCCAATTTGCAGTGAGTGTGCAAAAATATGATTTTTAATAATGTGCGGTTTTTGTATAGTACTGAGAATGAGACTAATAATGGTGTGATGTGTAGCAAAAATGAAAAAATAATATGTGTGATGAGTGAATGAATTAAGTTGAAAGTTAAGAAGGAGTAGCATAGATGCGAAGTCATATTGACACAGAGTAATCAGAAGACATTTGCAGAATGTGTTGCATGATAAGAACGGCCCATCATCCATCTTCTGACTCATTCTTTGTTGTATAAAATTGTTTTAAAAATCTTTTGCTGATTCATTTTCTCCACTAAAATATAAAATTTTTCTATTTTGTATTATCTTCCTCCCTTTTATGCTCCTCCGAGCTAATATATATACATTTATTTCTCACCTTTTGAATATTTTCAAAAAAATTTCATGCTTAATTAAGTGTTGACCTATCAAAAGCTTGACTACTGACCTTGCATTTTGCTAGAAAATTCGTAGAAATGATACACGCAGACTTGCGTGGCATACAATCAGTTACGAATAATTTAAGTAATTCATTTCATGTCTTCATAAATTCAGTTGGGCAGTGTTTGTTTTGCATAAAAAGCAAGTTTATACGACAGATTGTTCGTGATATAGTGCTTGTGAATCAACTTTTTATTTCTTTGCACACATTAGTTGCAATAAAAATTTATTACTTATGGGTTAGAAGAAGCATTTCAAAAGTATTTGATGCTTATTCAAGTCATTCCCAATGCATGTATTTAAAATTTTGAGATGAAAATGTTTGCGTGGAGAGCAAGAACTTTAAGCCAAATCTTTTCTTGCATACTTTGGATAGGATAAAATCTTTCAACTGAGAGCCGTATTTGTTTGTAATTGGTGGGGAAAAGTGTGATCTGTACTCCAGCTTACTTTGCAATTTTATTGGATGGATCGTGGATCGACAGTAGGAACTTGTGCGTGTTGGGATTGGAGATTATGTGGCGTCAAATTAAGTCAAAAAATTGCATATGAATAAAATTTCGAATGC